TGACTTTAGCAATTTTGACTGTGCTACGTGTACTTCTTCTGTCATAGGCGATGGGACATGGGACTTCGCAATTAAAATTTTACGATAGGAATGTTAATGGCCGCGCTCGTTCGTGCTTGTCTTGGAATGAGCTGAGCATGAGTTGGCTTGTTTCACCAACTTGTTAGTTTGTTGCAAAATTTAAAAAATAATGGTATTAGCAGTTACTTATTATCATTGTTATTTTACGTGACATACATGTAATGATTAGTAATTTATATATGAAGTAAGAAAAAACTATCATATTAATACATCAAATCTAGGGGCAGATTCAGAATTGGATCCAAAACCGAGCTATAAAATTTCAAGCCGGGCTAATACACAAAAAAAAAAAAAATTACACACAAAAAACTTTTTTTTCAAAAAAAAAAAAATGAAAAAATACATTAAAAAAAATAAATTTCTTGGGCCTTGGGGGGGGACTACAGCCCAGCGTAGTCCCCCTTATATCTGTCTCTGGTCAAATCGCAAATCGTTATGTAAGATGTCACGTAGAACGACTATCTCAATGACCGACTATAAATATCATTACTCAAATTTAAATCATTTTGAAAATCAGCTCTACGTAACTTCATACAAGGATCAAATACTATAGCTAAATAAATAATTGATAAACGAAAAATTAATTTTTAATTGGTGTTCCATCAAGTCAAAAACATGGAAACGAGGACGACACGAAATTTAAGTTGCAATATCATATTTTACATTTCATGGAACAAGAAAATACAAAGTGCATCGAGTCCAATCACTAAGACGCAACAACCCAAAACAATGTCATTTTGAAATCATCTTTCAATTCATAATGGACTTTTGACAAACCATGTCCTAGAGTATTGTAATGTCAACGAGAATTTGCAAGAAAAAAGTATTGTCTTTCTATTTTTAATTTTTTTTCATATACTTTTAATTCTCTTTTCAATTATTTTGATGGTGGTGGTGGGGATTGGAATGCGGTTGGGTGAGATTAATTGGGAAGATGAAATATTTTTATTTTTTTAGAATGTTTTAAATTATATTATGTGAGGTTCGTTCATACTTTTTCAAAAACTTAGAAATCTAGCTATAATTATTTCTTTTCTTATATATTATTTTTTTCTTTTCTATTTGTTTATTTAAAGATGGGGCTAAATTAGTGATTTTACAATGCTTTGATAAAGAAAAAATAGATGGTAAGAACCTTTTATATAAAGAAAGGTCGAGGGTTTAAATGTCAAAACTGAAACGATAAGTTCAATTTGCACAATGAAGATAAATGATATGGATGTTTTGCCTCAATTGTCTATATTTGACAAAAGAAATTAATGAAATGAGACAAAAATGATCAACTACGTAAAAAAGGGTTAAAATAAAGTGCAAATGACAAGTTTGAAATGATATGAATGATTTGCAAATGAGTGCAAACGATGAGAACTTTTTGTGTCAATTATTCTTTTAAATTCTCTACTTAAAATTAATAGATGGCTTAAACTCTTTCAAAGGGAAAAATTCCAAAAAAATTGTTTACCAAAGATTTTTTAGGACGAGTGTTAGAATTACAAATTTTATTATCGTCACCACATTTTAATTGTAATGAAGTTTCTCAATTTTTTTTAATTTTTTTTTCATTTATGTTGTCAAATTTTTTGCCATATTCTTATTTTAGCCTCCAAATATTTAACATATATTATCTTTGATGATAATTTTTATCCAAATATTCTACTAATATGTATTGAAATGAGGAGCAAATATTTTATCAAAATATTCTATTTGTTGTTAATTTTGCTTATATAAAATTAGGAGAAGCAAATAATTTTTTAACACCCTCTTAAAAACTTTTTGGACGGAAATAATTATTGGAGACAAAAATGCACAAATCAATAAATAGTTAAAAATAAAAATGCACAGAAAAAATTTAAGAACATAAATATGTAAATAAGCAAAATTAGCCCCCGTTTGTCATCTGTTTTTTCAGGACTTTTTTTTTTGTAAAACTCATTTTCACCCATAAATTTTCATAATAAAATATTTTGAATTGAAATTCAATTTTTTTTTCTATTCTTTGATAATGCATTTTCCAAAAAATCTCTAATTTAGAACTTATTTTTCCCATTTTTTTTTTTTTGGTTAATCAAGTAGAGGGTTAAGAACATTATGTTTAAACTCTTGTTTGAGCCCCATTTTTTATATAAGAATACATTTTTGAACAGTAAATTTATAGAAAATGTGTAGTGAAAGAATAAGAATTTTTTTTAAATTCACATGTGATATTATTTTATTGAAGAATGTGTGATTGAAATGATGTTAAAAAATACTATTTAGAATGCATTTTTTTTCCAAAAGAATGAGAATCAAACATGCTAAGGTCTCGTTTGGTACCTATTTTTTTTGAAAATGCATTTTTCTCTCTTTTCTTTTCAATCATATATTCTTTATTAAAATAATATTACACGTAAATCAAAAAAAATTTCTTATTTTTTAACCACATGTTTTCCATCAATTTATTATTCAAAAATGCATTTTTACATAAAAATGTCTCCCAAACATTTCATGGAACAAGAAAATACAAAGTGCATCGAGTCCAATCACTAAGACGCAACAACCCAAAACAATGTCATTTTGAAATCATTTTTCAATTCATAATGGACTTTTGACAAACCATGTCCTAGAGTATTGTAATGTCAACGAGAATTTGCAAGAAAAAAGTATTGTCTTTCTATTTTTAATTTTTTTCATATACTTTAAATTCTCTTTTCAATTATTTTGATGGTGGTGGTGGGGATTGGAATGCGGTTGGGTGAGATTAATTGGGAAGATGAAATATTTTTATTTTTTTAGAATGTTTTAAATTACATTATGTGAGGTTCGTTCATACTTTTTCAAAAACTTAGAAATCTAGCTATAATTATTTCTTTGCTTATATATTATTTTTTTCTTTTCGATTTGTTTATTTAAAGATAGGGCTAAATTAGTCATTTCACAATGCTTTGATAAAGAAAAAATAGATGGTAAGAACCTTTTATATAAAGAAAGGTCGAGGGTTAAATGTCAAAACTGAAACGATAAGTTCAATTTGCACAATGAAGATAAATGATATGGATGTTTTGCCTCAATTGTCTATATTTGACAAAAGAAATTAATGAAATGAGACAAAAATGACCAACTACTTAAAAAAAAGGTTAAAATAAAGTGCAAATGACAAGTTTGAAATGATATGAACGATTTGCAAATGAGTGCAAACGATGAGAACTTTTTGTGTCAATTATTCTTTTAAATTCTCTACTTAAAATTAATATATGGCTTAAACTCTTTCAAAGGGAAAAATTCCAAAAAAATTGTTTACCAAAGATTTTTTTGGATGAGTGTTAGAATTACAAATTTTATTATCGTCAGCACATTTTAATTGTAATGAAGGTTCTCAATTTTTTTGTAAAACTCATTTTCACCCATAAATTTTCATAATAAAATATTTTGAATTGAAATTCATTTTTTTTCCTATTCTTTGATAATGCATTTTCCAAAAAATCTCTAATTTAGAACTTATTTTTCCCAAATTTTTATTGTTTTTTTTTGGTTAATCAAGTAGAGGGTTAAGAACATTATGTTTAAACTCTTGTTTGAGCCCCATTTTTTATAAAAGAATACATTTTTGAATAGTAAATTGATAGAAAATGTGTAGTTAAAGAATAAGAAATTTTTTTAAATTCACATGTGATATTATTTTATTAAAAAATGTGTGATTGAAATGATGTTAAAAAATACTATTTAGAATGCATTTTTTCCCAAAAGATTGAGAATCAAACATGCTAAGGTTCGTTTGGTACCTATTTTTTTGAAAATGCATTTCTTTCTCTTTTCTTTTCAATCACATATTCTTTATTAAAATAATATTACACGTAAATAAAAAAAATTCTTATTTTTTAACCCCACGTTTTCCATCAATTTATTATTCAAAAATGCATTTTTACATAAAAATATCTTCCAAATACCCTTTAAATAAGCTTTTGCTTGACAATCAATATTTGAAAAAGATAATACTTTGAATAGTCATTTTTAAGAGAATATATGGTTAAAAAATAAAAAAAATTAAATTGACATGTAAAATATTTTATTGTGTAAATATATAATTGAAAATAAGTATTTTCAATTTTTCTCTTTTCAATAATGATTGTCACGGGGCTAAAATGCGGTGTGAACCAAGCCAATATCTTGAAGCCGGAAGCATAAGATGGCGCCGCCGCTATTGATCTAAATGATTAAAATCTTTTCAATCAAACAATAAAAAAAATAAATAAATAAGCACAGCGCCTCACCCGCGTATACTTACATATATACATATACATACACAGAGAGAAGAGAGTGATAAAAAATTAGTAGACAGAGCGACAGAGATTCTCGATTGCTCTTCTTTGTTTTTGTTTATTATCTGATTAGATTATTCGAAAAAAATTGGAAAACGTATAATTTTCTATTGAATGTAAAGCCCACTGCACAGTATAATGGTAAAGTAATTAAGAAAGGGTTCTCAATTTATTTGCTTTCTTTATCTCCATTAATTTATTCGTACCATACACGCATATACATATATATTATACTCAGCACAGCTGTAGTATGTGTATCCTATGATTAAAACTATACATACAATTGGACCATTGAAGCAGCGGTTTTACTCTTTGCTGACTCTCCAGGTACGGATTTATCATCTTACTTTGCTCTTCCCGTGAATTTTTTTGCTTAAGGATAAATTAATTTTGTTTCTAGGATTTTTGTGACGAATAAAAACATAATCACATTTATATTGAGATCAATTGTAGGCTTGTATCCCCTTTTTAAATGCTTGCTTGAGATCTGTAGTAAAGTTGGAATGTTTTTGTAATATGAAAAGACGATATTATTATTATTATTATTATTATTATTATTATTATTATTATTATTATTATTATTATGTTTTTTGTGGTGACCGAAGAGAGAGCGAAGAACAGAGGAGCTAAAATGAGTAATCGCCATATCTTTTTTGTAAATGATTTGGAAAAAAAAAAGAAAAAAGAAAAAAAGAGGGATAATATAAAGTGAATCATGAATTGTTAAATTCGCCAAAGTTTGTAGTTTCTTGATATCATTGAAAGCATAATGGGCTGTTAAATGATTTTTATACATGAAAGAATAGTGTGAAAGCTAGTATTTTGTGAAATTTTGCTACAGAATTTTTATTATATATGATTTTATCCCCTTGAATGTTATTAATGGATATGATGCACTTTGATTTCAGTATGCCCTGGCGTTAGATAATTGTGGAAGATTAGAATATACAGTTGAAAAAAGTGATCTTATCTATGTAAGCATGTTATTCCATCTCTAAAAGATACATACTTGGAATACATAGTCATATTGAGATCCCAATAACGTATTCATATACCTACGCTTTTCCGTTGTCTGCTTGTATTTATTATGTTGCGGGGACAAATTTTGCTGAAGGTCATGCAGTTATGACCCAAAAATTCTCTCAACAAGAAGAGGTTTAGTAAATCACATGAATTTAAACTAATTCTGTTTAGTCTATGCTGCTTTGAAGCTTAAAGGAAATGGAATATTGTCATCTATCAATGAATTTTTCATTGTGATATATTGCAAATTGAAAAGCAGAAGAAACGTGTCACATATTAAATGCATTCTGTTCCAAAGAATATCTGATATCTTACTATAAGCAGTGGATGCTTCCATCTCAATCTATCACACAACAATAATGACCTGTTGCAGTCTAGCATCTTCAAGCTGTAGGTCTGTTGCCTTAAGTTTGTTTTGTACTTTTTGTCAAATGTCTGATAGATCTAAAGTGCACATGTAAGAGAAATCTTATTAGTTGCGCACATCACACAATACATTGCTTATATGACTAGGTAGCCCTAAAGGTTTTCTATGGAAACATGTTGGCACCGTTCTTTTAGGTAAATTTTTATTGACACTCTGTTTACTTGTTCTTCATGTCTACGGCAGAGATGGTAAATATGGCATCTGAACTTGTTATTTCTGCAACAAGTGATAAACTTACTGAAATGGATTGGATGAAAAACATTGAGATTTGTGAATTAGTTGCACATGATCACAGGTAAGATTCCGCCCTTACTTTTTACCAAGTTAAATGCAGACATTATATTTATACTTTCTGGCATTGATAGGGCTCCAACATGGTTAGGTGTTTAGTATTTTGTTGGAAGGTTTTTGTAAAATATTTATCTTGTTTTATACAATTTAATGAATTTTTATTTTGCTATTAATTAGTGGTTGATAATTGTTTCTTCTACACGCTAGATGTAGAAAGTAAAATTCAATCTGCACCTTTTTCTTTCTCCTGGCTATTTATAACATTAGATAAGTTCCTTGGAAATCGGTAAAATCGAGAGAATATAGGTTGTCATAGAGCTGATTTTTAAGGCATGGCTGTTGTGTGTGATTTAACAAATTTTTGCACCTTGATGTTATCATCACTATCAGTTTATTAATTTTGGGGCGTTTTATTAATACAGGCAAGCTAAAGATGTCATAAAAGCCATTAAAAAACGCTTGCAAAGCAAACACTCAAACACACAACTATTTGCAGTAATGGTGAGTACTTCTAGGGTGCAAAATATTTTTACCTCGGTTATGTTCCTGTTGTTGGCATTGCATGATATGTCATGTTCCTCGACTGGAAGAATCAATAACCCAACTTATTGTTCTTTCTGGTGATCAAATCATACAGTTGCTGGAGATGTTAATGAATAATATTGGAGAACCTGTTCATAAGCAGGTTACGGAGACAGGAATTCTTCCCATACTTGTGAAAATAGTTAAGAAAAAGGTTGATGCTTCTCCATTTGACTCTCAATCACAAGCTTATTTGATCGAGTGACAAATAATTTATGTCCTTTTTACAGTCAGATCTTCCTGTTCGGGAAAAGATTTTTCTTCTCTTAGATGCAGCTCAGACATCTGTAGGTGGAGCTTCTGGGAGGTTCCCTCAATATTATTCTGCATATTATGAATTGGTGGTAGGTACTCAGCATGTTGAATATTTGATTTATCAAGTATATGACTGTATTCCATTATTCTCTGAAGCTTTATAGTTTTAAACCGTGGAGATGATATGTTGTAATCCTTGGATATCCTCATCATCTGTACTTTAATGGGGTTATTTGTATTGTTTAGCACCCAAAATGAAGATGGAGAATCGTGGCCATGTCTACTTTGTAAATAATATGGTCTTCTCAAAATTTTCAACACCTGATAATGTTTTGGAAATATTATGATATTTGTTAGTGTACCAGAAAAGTGACAAGTATGTAAACCATGTACAATTTATACGTCAGATTTTTGGTTTCGAAAGTGTAAACAAACAATGTTTAGAAAATATTTTTAATATTGGTTGTTTTAAATGCTTACCTGTAAGAAAAGCATTTTTTTACATTTGTTGGTTCCATGCCTTCCACGTATTACCAGAAAACCTTATTTTAAATATTTTCCTCCCAAGGAATATAAAATTGATATAGATATGTAAGATTATGACACTAATAAAAATAAAAAATAAAAATAAAAATAAAAAAAAGTTATGTAAGATTATGGGCCTATTTGGGATAGTTTTGGCTTCTGTTTTTACATTTTGTAATAGAGTTTTCTAAAGAAGTGACCTTAGGCCAACTTTCTTTAAAAACTTTTATATGAAGACAGAGCATTTTAAAATAATTATTGAATAAGGCCCCAAAACAGTTTCTTAGTTTCAAAAGCAGCTTTTGATTTTTAAAAGCTCCACCAAACGGTCCCTACACCTCTAAATAACACCAATAACAAATAGAGTCTTATTCCCAATCACTTTGGGGTAGGATAAGTCAATTCCTTTTCACCACATTTATTGATGATTGACAAATATAATAAAAATCAAATGTATACATTAATTTCCAGATAAAATATAATCATTTTTGGATAATTGGGTCTGAGGTATATGAAAGTGAAACCTTCCAGATATTATTTGGTTGTATTATGCTTTTAACTGCATATATAGTTAGACTTTTATGGACCCCATTTTAAAATGATGGAATTATCTGTAAGAAAATTATGCATTCCTTGGAGATGTATACTAATCGTAAACATTCCCTGCTTGGAGAGTTTTTCTTTCAATTGTAATAAAGATTTCTTAGTTTACTGTATAAAATTTTTTCTGTTGCATATATTGTGGCGAAAATACTCTTAATGTTGCAGACTAGGTTAACCTTGGATACTATGTGCGCAGAGTGCAGGAGTGCAATTTGCTCAGAGGCCTCGTGATATCCCCAAACCTCATGCTACATCAAACACCAACGTGAATAATTCACTTGATAAGGAATCTGCTACTAAATGTGAAAGTGCACCAAAGACACAACCTCGGAAGGTTTCTGAATACAGGTATCATCGTTGCTCTATATATGACTTGGTATCTATGTGTACTTCTTTTATCTATAGAAGAAAAAGAAGACGAGCTTTGTATCTTTTTTTTGGCTCTCTTGTGGTTATTATCCTAGTTTTCCTTGCCATAAAAGTTCAATTATTCACAGTATTCTTGAGAAAGCTAGCACTGCACTGGAGGTCTTGAAGGATGTCCTTAATGCTGTCGATGCTCAACATCCTGAGGTATTTACTGGTGTAGTATTCTCTATTCTGCTGAGCGTAATGAATAATAGACATGATAAAGATGTAGATAGTAATAGCAAACAAGAAGCAGTCTTGAACAATATGGGAGAAAAAGGTTGAATATTAGAGAGGTGGGGTAGTTGTCGATCCTTGACGAATGCTATACTAAATGATGACAAAGCTATAACTTGAGCTTAAATTAGTAAAACATAGGAAGAAAAACCTAATTTGCCATGAAACAATTAAATCACAAGAAAATAAAAGAAAAGATAAGAAAAAATTGAAATATTTTAATAGAATTTCCAACCCCCCCCCCCCAAGTTTCACTGTTCGGAGTTCATCTGTCGTTTAATATTTTGTATCCTCCATAATATGGTAAACCTCCTCAAGCCTTAGTACCAAAAACTTGTGCAAGCATCAGCAGCATATGAATATTGTAATTTTAAAATGGAAAGAGGAAAAAAGTATCAATAACTTACGATGTCTTAATTCAACAATTTTGAGATTTATGTGCAATTGGTAAATGAACAATTTCAAGATTTGTGTGCAATTGGTGATTGACTTATCCGCCACTTTGTGGAGCTTCTGAACTGTTCCCTTGTTCATTTTACCTTAGCATTTGTAAAACTTTATTGTTCTTTTAGGGAGCGAAAGAGGAGTTCACACTTGATCTTGTGGAACAATGTTCTTTTCAAAAGCAACGAATAATGCAACTTGCAATGACTTCTCGGTAAGACCTTCACACATTTTTTACTTCCATTAAAATAATCTCACAATTGATGTATCTCGTAATGGCTCGCTTATAAGACTGGTAGTTTATATGCTTGTCGAACTCAATTTATTTTAGTCACTTAAGCTTCCTAGTTATTGCATCGCCTTGAATTGTATTTATTTACTAGATTTTGATCACGTGATGTGAGAGCAGGAGTATGCAAAACATAAAGTCATACAATATTTAAGTTGCTTCTTACATCAAGCTAAGCCTTATTTCCAATAATCAAACGTCAGGTTAACTACATGAATTTCGAGACAAATGACCGTCTGCAGGGTTATTGTACTTCCGTATTTGTTCTGAACTTGAATGTTTTGCATTCAAATGTATCATATGTCATGTGATGGTGAAAAGCTATATGGTTGGAGGAATCATGTATGCAGCCAACGTTCCACCCAAAACTAAATTTGGCGTAAAAAAAATAATATTTTAGTTGATGTAAATATACTGGTGTTGTGGAGTGTGTTTGATGAGCGAAGTGAGTCACAATGATTGAATGTGAGAAAAAAATGGCAGTGGCAGTCAAAGGTTGTGTAACAAATTGAGCTTGCAATTTTCTCAGTGCCATTGTTTTGGGTCTAAAATCAAAATTTTGGTCAATGTCAATTTTGGGGTCAACTAACTGTTTTGATGGTCAAACTAACGATTTCTGTCAATTTGGACTCTGGGTGCGAATTTTTTGAAGGTTTGGTACCTCCGGTGGCACAAACTAAAGGTTTGAGCAAAGTTTGCTAATAAACGAAATGTTTGGTACCTCAACTGCAATTTTCCCATTAAAATGATAGTAGAGACATTTTATACCAATTACTTTTATTTGATGGAAGGAAACGAAAAGGACAAACTCTACAATAAAAAGTTAAAATGAGGTTGCAATTGTCAAATTTGAAACAATAGGGTGAATGAGTGGGGGTGCTCGTTGGTAGGGTGCTGAATTAGATGGTGAAGAAAAACCATTTATTTGTTTTTTGTTTTTAGTTTTTTAGTTTATTCATTTTTAATTCTTTTCTTACTTTTTCTTTTATAATTTTAATTCTCTTTTCAATTATTTTGATGGTGGTGGTGGGGATTGGAATGCGGTTGGGTGAGATTAATTGGGAAGATGAAATATTTTTATTTTTTTAGAATGTTTTAAATTACATTATGTGAGGTTCGTTCATACTTTTTCAAAAACTTAGAAATCTAGCTATAATTATTTCTTTGCTTATATATTATTTTTTTCTTTTCGATTTGTTTATTTAAAGATAGGGCTAAATTAGTCATTTCACAATGCTTTGATAAAGAAAAAATAGATGGTAAGAACCTTTTATATAAAGAAAGGTCGAGGGTTAAATGTCAAAACTGAAACGATAAGTTCAATTTGCACAATGAAGATAAATGATATGGATGTTTTGCCTCAATTGTCTATATTTGACAAAAGAAATTAATGAAATGAGACAAAAATGACCAACTACTTAAAAAAAAGGTTAAAATAAAGTGCAAATGACAAGTTTGAAATGATATGAACGATTTGCAAATGAGTGCAAACGATGAGAACTTTTTGTGTCAATTATTCTTTTAAATTCTCTACTTAAAATTAATATATGGCTTAAACTCTTTCAAAGGGAAAAATTCCAAAAAAATTGTTTACCAAAGATTTTTTTGGATGAGTGTTAGAATTACAAATTTTATTATCGTCAGCACATTTTAATTGTAATGAAGGTTCTCAATTTTTTTGTAAAACTCATTTTCACCCATAAATTTTCATAATAAAATATTTTGAATTGAAATTCATTTTTTTTCCTATTCTTTGATAATGCATTTTCCAAAAAATCTCTAATTTAGAACTTATTTTTCCCAAATTTTTATTGTTTTTTTTTGGTTAATCAAGTAGAGGGTTAAGAACATTATGTTTAAACTCTTGTTTGAGCCCCATTTTTTATAAAAGAATACATTTTTGAATAGTAAATTGATAGAAAATGTGTAGTTAAAGAATAAGAAATTTTTTTAAATTCACATGTGATATTATTTTATTAAAAAATGTGTGATTGAAATGATGTTAAAAAATACTATTTAGAATGCATTTTTTCCCAAAAGATTGAGAATCAAACATGCTAAGGTTCGTTTGGTACCTATTTTTTTGAAAATGCATTTCTTTCTCTTTTCTTTTCAATCACATATTCTTTATTAAAATAATATTACACGTAAATAAAAAAAATTCTTATTTTTTAACCCCACGTTTTCCATCAATTTATTATTCAAAAATGCATTTTTACATAAAAATATCTTCCAAATACCCTTTAAATAAGCTTTTGCTTGACAATCAATATTTGAAAAAGATAATACTTTGAATAGTCATTTTTAAGAGAATATATGGTTAAAAAATAAAAAAAATTAAATTGACATGTAAAATATTTTATTGTGTAAATATATAATTGAAAATAAGTATTTTCAATTTTTCTCTTTTCAATAATGATTGTCACGGGGCTAAAATGCGGTGTGAACCAAGCCAATATCTTGAAGCCGGAAGCATAAGATGGCGCCGCCGCTATTGATCTAAATGATTAAAATCTTTTCAATCAAACAATAAAAAAAATAAATAAATAAGCACAGCGCCTCACCCGCGTATACTTACATATATACATATACATACATAGAGAGAAGAGAGTGATAAAAAATTAGTAGACAGAGCGACAGAGATTCTCGATTGCTCTTCTTTGTTTTTGTTTATTATCTGATTAGATTATTCGAAAAAAATTGGAAAACGTATAATTTTCTATTGAATGTAAAGCCCACTGCACAGTATAATGGTAAAGTAATTAAGAAAGGGTTCTCAATTTATTTGCTTTCTTTATCTCCATTAATTTATAGAGAGAAGAGAGTGATAAAAAATTAGTAGACAGAGCGACAGAGATTCTCGATTGCTCTTCTTTGTTTTTGTTTATTATCTGATTAGATTATTCGAAAAAAATTGGAAAACGTATAATTTTCTATTGAATGTAAAGCCCACTGCACAGTATAATGGTAAAGTAATTAAGAAAGGGTTCTCAATTTATTTGCTTTCTTTATCTCCATTAATTTATTCGTACCATACACGCATATACATATATATTATACTCAGCACAGCTGTAGTATGTGTATCCTATGATTAAAACTATACATACAATTGGACCATTGAAGCAGCGGTTTTACTCTTTGCTGACTCTCCAGGTACGGATTTATCATCTTACTTTGCTCTTCCCGTGAATTTTTTTGCTTAAGGATAAATTAATTTTGTTTCTAGGATTTTTGTGACGAATAAAAACATAATCACATTTATATTGAGATCAATTGTAGGCTTGTATCCCCTTTTTAAATGCTTGCTTGAGATCTGAAGTAAAGTTGGAATCTTTTTGTAATATGAAAAGACGATATTATTATTATTATTATTATTATTATTATTATTATTATTATTATTATTATTATTATTATTATTATGTTTTTTGTGGTGACCGAAGAGAGAGCGAAGAACAGAGGAGCTAAAATGAGTAATCGCCAAATCTTTTTTGTAAATGATTTGGAAAAAAAAGAAAAAAAAAAGAGGGATAATATAAAGTGAATCATGAATTGTTAAATTCGCCAAAGGTTTTAGTTTCTTGATAACATTGAAAGCATAATGGGCTGTTAAATGATTTTTATACATGAAAGAATAGTGTGAAAGCTAGTATTTTGTGAAATTTTGCAACAGATTTTTTATTATATATGATTTTATCCCCTTGAATGTTATTAATGGATATGATGCACTTTGATTTCAGTATGCCCTGGCGTTAGATNGCCACATAGATAAGGGATTCTGCTTTTCTTGTCTCGGTTCCAATGTTATTAGAGCTTGTTATGTTATTATTATCATCTTTGTTTGTTAACTTCAGGTTTGGTTTCCATCTTGTATCTAATATGGTCACTTAACTGTTGTTGGACAGGATAAGAAAAGGGAAAGCTTGTCTACGACCAGAAGATGAAGCCTGCCAAATAGAGCGGCCGTTGGGATTTCTGGGTTGCCCTGTTCCTGGGGAAATGCTTCATCGCCCACTCATTCGACCACTAACTGTGGAGCCAAAGCAGCAACTTGTTCAGCCGCTAATTATGGAGCCAAAGCAAGAGTTTGTACGGCCACCAACTATGGAGCCCGATCAAGAAGCTAATGGAGGTCGACCAGTAGTTGCAATTCCACCACCACCAGCTAAACATGTTGAGAGAGAGAGATTTTTCAAGGAGAAAAAGGCAGACGTTTCTTCGCTTGATGGGCATGTGAGGAGCCTCTCACTACACAGCCGAAATGCCAGCAGCTCTCGCAGTGGAAGTTTAGATTATAGCGACTGAATGAAGTTTTCTGTGAGAAAAATGCTTTCAGGAGGTTGAAGGCCATAGTATTTTACATGCATGGAGGTTTGAGGTTTTCAAGGTTTCCATTGCTTAGATTGCTGATTACAAGGAGGATCTGATAGCTGAAAGTTCTGAGATGATAGGTGTGATTTAAGAGGTACATAGTGTTTTATCAAAATCATGAATGCTGAATTTGTATATCAAGTTAGACATGAATTTTCATTTCAAACTTTCGGGTTATACTAAGTTACTGGATCCAAGTTTTGTTCTGTGCTTATATGTCGTACAATTATGCATCCTACACAATCACAAAATTCAAATTCAGTGTTGTGACTGCTAAATCCAAGATTCAATTGACATAAAATTCTCCACTTGCACGTACTTCCTTCACTTGCCTTTCATACTCATCGTCTCCTTCCTCCACCTCTTCTTCTGCCGCTGCTCCTTCGTCTCCCCATCCAAATCCAGCAACCGGCCTTGACGCCGGAGGAGGGTTTCTAGCCTCTCCTACAATCTTCATTATCTCTTCAATGCTTTGAATGGAAAAGCTTGGATTATCTCTCTGATAGTAGATAGCCTGAGCCGACTCGGTGAGTTCCTTTGGCAAGTTCTTCAAGAACCATGGGTGGTTCTTAATATCTTTTATTGTAAGCCTCTGCGAGCCATCAATTACAGACATGTTAACCTCTACATTAACAGACAGCAAACAGTATTGAAGGAGAAAAAAAGTTACCATGGAGGAATTTGCAACAAAAATACGAGAAAGTAAGTGTCTGCAATCTTGAGATATATGAACATAATCTGGGATTTTGTATTGAACAGCCATTATTCTCTGCAAAATGAGAATAAATTAAGAAACAAAGAAGAAACCTGTTATTATGAGATTTTAATGTAGAATCAAAAGGAACTTACTGAAATAGTTTTCCTAAAATTCTTGGGATCATCTGGATCTTCAAAAGGGTAAGCTCCCACCAACATCACATATAGAGTCACTCCACAAGACCATACATCTGCCAACTATTTCATTGCATTTGTGATAATTTGTCAGTCATAGAATGTTTAAAAACTTAAAATGGGTAAAAAGAACACTTGGTCACATATCTTACAATAAAGTTTCACATTAATTATCGAACTCCACATTGACGTGCTATATCATATTGTTATTTATTCCGTATATTTCAAAGAAGAGCTAGGAGATTTTAGATTAGGCGACCATCAGGGGAAAAAAATAATAATAATAATAAAATTGGATGTAAGTTTAATGACTTAAATGGAAAAGGGCTATAGGAAAGAATTACTTTGCCATCATATTCTTGGCGGGAGAGAACTTCTGGTGCTATGTAAGCTGGAGTTCCAACTGTGGATTTTGGTCTTGAATGCAGCACTGATGACTATACCACCACCACAATGTAAATACCATTTTAATTAATTAGTTAATGATAAATACAAAACTTGATTAATATTGTGAAAAGAATTAATTCGGAAATATTAATTGGTAACTGTACCTTGGAGTAACCAAAATCACAGATTTTGAGGCGGGGTGCTGGATTTCCATCTAACAGTGTATTCTCCAATTTCAAATCCCTGTGACATATTTGCTGCCACCCAAAATCATCATTTCAAACAATAATTAATCTAAAATTTGCAAGCAATTTTACGTAGCTAGTCTTGTAACGACAGTTTAAGTGGCAGTGGACCCACATTTCACACGAGTTCTAGACATATATATAGCCCCTGTTTGGGTTCCATTCATCCAAAACACATTTCCAACCACGAATAATGCTATTCATGGTGGCTCACAATCGGTAATCTTACTACATGGCAGTTTGTTATTTAAGAATTGACATGCTATTTAAGATAATAAAATTACAAGAAATTAATGCCTAAATTAACAAATTGCAACGTAGGGCGACTACCAATAATGAGCGACTATAATAACATTATTCTTACGAATACACATTCTTTCGTAAAATATATACATGTATTAGTGGTGGAAGAAAAGCATATTGAAGTATGAAATACCATGAAGTGACAATAACAGACTCCAGAGATCAACTGCTGAAAGAAATACCTAGCCTGAAACAAAAAATTTAAATACAAGGATATAATTATAACTTGTAAATTTGGACAGAAAATAAAAAAATAATATGAAGTTTCTTATGCATGTTGATTAGTTATTTTTGGATCGAAATTAATAAAACAATGATGCAGATTGACCTCATCTTCGCTAAATCTACTGGCAGTGCAAATTCGATCGAAAAGCTCACCACCAGCTGCATACTCCATAACAATACCCAAATGTGTTGGCGTCAAAACAACCTACAAATTTTTATCATTAAATTATGGGAAATGCCTGGGGTACATAATTTTTGATGCATAGGAGTGTCCACCCTCCCATGTGGGTGGGGTCCACTTGAATAAAATATTCGAGTGTTCTCACGTCATGTGAGAGGGTGGATACCCTTATATATAAAAAATTATGTACAAGTATCTTTATCCATAAATTTTTACTTATAGGCATAAAAACATCACAAATAATAATTCACAAAGAAGATCAAGACTTTAAAACGCAGTTAACCACCTCTTTGAAACGAATTATATTGGGATGTCTTAGTGATCTGTGGTTAATAATTTCCCTGGCTACATTTTCATCAATCTGCCAACCAAATACCATAGATCAGATCCTTAACTTACAACTGATCATAAAAAACTAATGTAAGAATTATTCTGGCACCTTGTGTCCACGCTCGATGTATTTCATGGCGACGAGCTCCTTGGTTTCTTTGTGTCTCATGAGCCTGGCTACGCCAAAATTTCCAGATCCCAACTCTTTCACAACCTCGTACTTGTCCATTTTAGGATATTTTTCAGTATCCTTAATTATGAATCAAATTGGGAAGACAACTTAGATATGTTTATAGATAGATACATATGCATGCATATATGCATGCACCAAACTGATCAATTATTGGATGTATTTATAGTCGCACTTAGATGACAAGGCCCCAGCTCCCCCACCCTGACCCAGTTATCTCTCTCCCACGCACACTGATACACAGACTGACAGACCGAAAAAGAGAGAAGGCTCTCATTAATTAATTAGTTGGAGTGTGAATGGAGAGCACATGGTGAAGTTTAATGGAGAGATGGACGTAGATATGGGATTCCATGTGGGTGAGTTTGAATTCCCAAATCAGTTTACATTGATTAATGAAGTTTCCACTTGGTTTTCTTTTTCATTTCTATTAATTTATTGCCATTCATATGCTGTTCCGAGTGAGGAGGTTGGATCTCCAAAAACGCCGCCATGCGAGGAGGGAGCGGTACGAGTTTTGACTTTTTGTTACTCAGAGCATTGATTTATGAGTTGGTTTTCTATTTTGAGTATACTTTTTTCTTTTTTCCTTTTTTCAAAGGAGATGTTATGAAGTTTGCAACTTTATAATTTTAAATTAATGACTTTGACGTGATTTCTATAAGTTATGACACTTCAATTAGTATTTGAACATCTTAGGAATATATTGATCGACTCTTATTATCAAGTTTTATGAGGTCAAAATTCATCACTTCGAATTCGACTATGAACTTCATGTACTCGAGGCTTTCACTTTGCCTCCTAGTGATAAGTAACATGGCCTTTAGGGGTCACTAACTCAAGATCGATATTAAAAACTTTCATATAGATACTGCCATATTTACCGTAGGTCTACATCTCAACCTCTAGGGTAGCGCCTCATACTTCACCCTTGACCTTATAACCACATTCAACCAAGACTTTTTAAATGAGTTCCTCCTTACCGTATGACACAAGTTAGCATCACCAAGTCAAGTTCCTTGTTTGCATGTGATTGATCTTTGACAATAATATTTTACATGCTTATCTATGTCCTAAAATAAAGTTTGATTTAGAATAATCGAGGGATTTCTACATAGTGTTTTTTTTAAGGTTAAATCCCCTATTTGAAGATAAATTGAGAAAAAGAAAGTGATTTGGAGCTTAATTTGGACAAAAAGATGAAATTGAAAAGTTACTGGGTAGTTTGGATTTAATTATAAACTTCTGGAATTGATAATTGAATGAATTCACAAGTTTGGGGACCAAATTCAACTTTTGGAGAAGTTTGTAGACCAACTTGAACATTATCAACACTATGAAGGATCAAAGTTGAAGGAGATAAAAGTTGAAAGACTTAAGTGTATGAGTTTGAAAGAGGGGGACCAATCCAGAAGCATTTGCAAGTGGTAGGACCGGATCTGGATGATTTAAAGTTGAGAGACTAAACACGTACAAAAACTTGGAACTAGGGACCAAATTGTGCGGATATGGAAAATTAGGGACTTTGACCGCGCTAGTGTAATAGTGTTCCAATGGAGGCCAAAATTATTAGCTGTTGTTCTGTCTGAGACCACAAAAAGATGAGTAATGCGGTCTTTATGAGACCCGTTCATGAAGAAATATCGAGTACACTTTACATGACTTTCAGAGTAATTAACCCTCTATATGAGGACCAAATTTTGATCAAAACAACACATCACACGTGGAAATACTTGAGATAAAAGCAATAAGATTTCTAGAATTCTAATCAATAATAAGGATTGAGACTCTATTTCCATTATTGTTGCCTCCATCACTACTAATTTCACACGATTCATGAGAGGCTCGAATCCTTGGGCCCAAAACTAGCGCACAAAGCCAATCAACATAATGTTATCCATAGAACTCCGACTCTAAAGGACAAATCATCAGACGGTCCCCTATCTTGTGAACAATCCCTGCATATATGAGAAAAATTAGGGAGCTAGTAATACATTAGCACCATATTTAATTTGGAATGAAACTCGAGTGTATATATCACCTAAATAATTTTGAGATATCCACGCATACCTAGACACACATGCAGGAGCCTTTTAAATTCTAACCTCTCCTCACTTCTGTGCATATACCACACTCTTGAGTACAAAAAGAACATTATAAATCTGAACTCAAAAAGACATTCATAAAATCGCCGTCACCATATTGCCTAACCTTGAAGGCTTAACTAAAGCAATGAATTGTTTTGTTAAAACGTCCAAAGCCAACCGAATAAACTTATTCTGCTACCAAAGTAGAAGACAAAGATTATTTGAACATTTTGCTTCAATCTGAATTCGATAGTCAATCTTCTAATTCGAGCCTCTTTCAAACTAGCATATTACCTATCATTTTTCCAATCAATCATGTATACATGCATAGCAACCCTTCTTCATATGCACGACCAATTCAAATATCAGTATCGTTGATATGATCAAATTTTAAGTCATTACGTATCTTAGATAGATAAGTTTTATCCATAGCTGTTGATGATGTTTAATAGAAGAAAATAAAGTGATGGGAGTCAACATTAACAACTCAGGAGACTAATAGTATTCCTGGGACTCTTCAGACGTCTCGTCATTCAAAAAATTATTAGTTAAATTTATAGAAAAACAATTGGGCATTTCCAACCCAAGGGTGGCACCGCTGCCTCGCTGGTTCTCCAACCGCAGCCTTCTTTTCCCTTTAATTAATAATTTCATTAATATCAACATAAAAATTACTATTATTAACAATTGTCTTCGTTCTGGTTTTTATTTTTAATTTGTATCCATTTTTGTTTTTATTTATGACACGTCAGAATGTTAGGAAATACAGCATTTAACGTTCTTCTTCAGGACAGTGTTCCACGATTTTTACATGACAATTAATTTAATTTTCTCCTCCTGCAAAAATAAAAATAAAAGAACAAAATTCCTTTAAAAAATCCCTCAACCGTTCATCCAAATTCCTTTGCATTTCTCAAATCCAGTATTCAAATCGGCCTCAGTTGGATCGGTCGATCAATCATTAATTTTGATTAATTGGTCAATTTATCATATTTTCTGGATTAATCGATCGATCTATTGGTGGAACTTTTTTGATCGATTATTGATAAATAGTAAGAGATATATCAGAAAGGATGGAGCAGAGCAAGAGGGCGGTGGAGTCTTACTGGAGGTCGAAGATGATAGACGGTGCGACGTCGGATGAGGACAAGGTTACTCCGGTCTACAAATTGGAGGAGATATGCGAGCTTCTGAGGTCATCCCACGTCAGCATCGTTAAGGAAGTCTCCCAATTTATCCTCAAACGCCTCCAGCATAAATCCCCCATTGTCAAACAGAAAGTTCGTCCTGCCCCCATCTTTTTTGTTATTCTTTTAATGGAGTTGAGATGAAATACTTGCTTTTTAATCATTTAATCCATTTGATTTCACTGTGAAATTGGACGTATTATAAGAATTTTTGACCCTGGGCTATCCAAAAGCTGTATGATGTAAAAAATTGAGTTATCTTTAATTCTAGGATTTTTTTTTCCCATTCAATTGCATTATGTAGGATAAAATATATCTGCTTCTTTTGCAAATTGAGTTGCTAGAATAAATGAAATACATTGTACTTGATTTGAACCCGGCTTATTAGGAAGTCACTCACCGACTCTCTTTTTCTATGCATGGCATTTCCATTAATATTTGTGTTTTTCTTTTCGACCATTTTGTTTTACTATTTGGGCGCACTTTTTTTATTTATTTAATTTTTTTTTAGTGAGTTAAAATGTATACTCAATTTATCCAGTGGGTCTCAGTGTGGTGTATGGGTTAACTGTGTAAGGATTTCATGTTGGCTTGTAAGAAATTCTATGTTTGTGTGAATTGTGGAAGTCAATCAGTCTTGTTCTTCTCTCCTAAACAGAGGTTCTATGAGCTCACCTTTAGAAAAACACTCTAAAGATCAATCAGAAGTAACAGATGTTATAAAGCTATTGGATTCATGTTGTTGAACGGATGATTGGTCCAAAAGGATGAATTAGTTGATTGATTTATATTTTGGAGTGGGTTAGATTCAATATATTTTGGGTTTACTTAATATGTTCCTTTGAAACATAATTAAATGGAATGGACACGAATAAAAGGACAGAATTGTTTAAGTGCATGATTTGGCAAAGCTTAATTTTTTAAAGATGGTCAAACATACTTTTTATTAACACATTTCGTTTGAACCACAACTTTTACTTACTTACCATGGAACCCACAACTTATAAACACTTAAAAACACTATTAGCTAGCACTAAGAGTCCGTTTGATTGCAAGAATGAAATTTGGGTGGAAAGAAAACGAATTCCAGTGAATTGAATTGCTAGAACTTATTTTACTGAAAATTGTTAATTAAATGTGTTTAATTGGTATAATTTTCCACCTAAAAAATGTTGAAATTTTGAATCTTTTAGTGTTCATTTCGTTTTGCTTTTCATGAAAATTATCAATTAAAGGAATAAAATTTGTTACAATTGTTGATAGAATTTGTTTTCATTGCAAAAAATAATAATAATAATAATAAAAAATAAAAAATAAAAAATTCCAATTCCCACCAAAACCAAAGGCAAATCAATTCCTTCAAAACCTAGAAAATGGCATCATGTAAGGGCTATATTGGAAAATCAATTCCATGGAAAAATTTGCCTATCAAACAAGACATTTGGGTCCATGGAATTGGCTTGTATCATACAGGCCCTAAGTGAATACAAATATTAATGGAAAGTTTTTTATTGGTTTATGAAAAATTCTTGGACAATGATTGGCCTGATTTCTTACTGAGAAATGAGTAAATACATTTAAGAACATGCCATGGAGAACCGAGAACCTAGTCATTATAGTTTTGTCTGGGTAATTTGTTAGTTCTATTCTAGCTCCAAATTTGTGGACAGTTCAGAGCTTGTCATTAGTTCAGCCATCAAAGTGAAACTTTCTGACTCCTGCTGGTTTGAACAGTTGATGGGCGGAACTATTTGTTTCTGCATTCGTCTCTACAATTTTTTATTCAAGTAAAAAAGTATAGTGACTGTGTTCTTTAATTTGTATCAGTGCAAATAATCATGTAGTGGCAATCTGATTTAACTGTTTTATTTAGGCACTTAGGGTGATCAAATATGCAGTGGGAAAGTCAGGGCCAGAGTTCAGAAGGGAGATGCAGAGGAACTCTGTAGCTGTACGTCAGTTAATTCATTACAAGGGAGAGCCAGATCCTTTGAAAGCTGATGCATTGAACAAGGCTGTGCGTGAAACTTCGCAGGAAGCATTATCTGCCATATTTTCTTCAGATGACCACAAGCCTGCACCTGCAGAGAATAGTATTGGTAGCCGTATACAGGGTTTCGGGAATACCAACTTTGAAATGCCATCAGAAGATAAGAAGACCTTCCTTAGTGAGATGGTTGATATTGGAAGTTCTACTATCAAGCAGGGTTTAAGTAATTTAGCACAATCTCCATCCCTCAAAAAGAGTATTGAGACTGGGAGTTACAGGAGCCCAAATCTTCGGAGATCATTGACTAGGGAAAACGATAACTCTGATCGATATGAAGGAATTGGCTCTTATGGTGAAACTCAGAGCAGCGTGCGTGTCTTGAAAAATGTTGGTTCTGGAAATTGGGGTTCAGATTTCAGTGCATCCCAGGCAGAAACAACTAATGGCAATTCTCATTTAGGTTACGGTGAAAAGACTCGTGAGGAGAAATTGTTAGAGACCATTGTGACGTCTGGTGGTGTCCGTCTACAGCCAACTCGAGATGCACTTCATGTTTTCCTTGTGGAAGCATTAAAATTGGATGCTTTGTCTTTAGGACAGGCTCTTGAATCAAAACTTCAATCACCTCTGTGGCAGGTTCTCTCTCTCTCAGTTACTGTTCTGTTTATGCATGTATAGGAGGGTGACCACCTACACAGTTATGGAGATATAATTTGATATTTTTCCGTAAATGATATGTTAATCTAACAAAATGCTATAATGGAGATTTCCGCTTATATATTTAAACATTGCTATTTGTGTCAGGTTTGCATGAAAGCCATTTCCGTCCTTGAGGCAATTTTACGAAAGACAGATGATGAACATTTTTCTGTTATAGCATCTTATTTCAGTGATAACAAGGATGTTGTGGTGAAATGTTCAGAATCTCCACAAGCATCTTTGAGGGAGAAAGCAAATAAGGTAATATTTCATAATTTGCACTTTGCAAATGAATCCCCTCATCATGAGGAAAAAACAAAGAAAAAGAAAACACTCATGGTCAAAAGGGAAGGAAAGAAGTTATCAGGGAAAAAAGAAGAAGTAGAACGGGTGGGGGAGGAACATTGCTGGGATTTCTTTGCTTTTACTACTCGTTACCAATTTTTCTTTTCCTTGAAGAACTGAATGCAATATATGGCTTGGCGACAATTATTATTAGATTAAGTAGTACTTCCAAGTAATTTTAGTCAATATGTGGTCATTTATGGACAGGTGTTGAGTCTTCTGGGTGGTGAACAAGTTGGTAGCGGAGTCCGTCAGCTAGATAAATCAATGAAGGCTGAGACGGTTGCATTTCCGATGCCGGATTTAATAGATACTGGTGATTCCAATGACCTTCTTGGAGTGCAAAATTCTACTAAAACGCAGAGTGATCAAAGAATTGAAAATCCGGCAACATCTGCTGCTCCTCTGATTGATGACATATTTGGAGACAGTTTCAGAGTCAGTGAAAGCACCACTGAACATAAATATGGTGATGATCCTTTTGCAGATGTCTCGTTTCACACCAATGACAATATGGACCACACACTTGATCTCTTTTCTGGGATGACTGTCGATAAGTCGGGAGCTTCTGAAGCCCATGTAGCAACTCATAAAACTGGACCTGAACCATTTGATATTTTAAGTTTTAATTCCAAAGCTTCCCAGGATCAAGGTAATTCTAGAAAAGATGTTCATGATTTGATGACTGGCTTGTCTATAAATGGTAATGACCCATTTGCCAAGCAAAGTGGAAGCTCTGCTGAGAAGCATGCTGGAAATGTAGGCTCAAAGTCCAATGATGTTTTCAACACACTCAATTCTCAAGCTAATGGGGTGAATGCTAATCCTATGTTCCCTTTGGGCGCCATGGCAGATAATTTTCCCCCTGGCTTGATGTTCAATCCATCATTAGTTTCTCAGCCAATGGATAACAGTGCCATGGGTAATCTTTTCACTCAGCAACAGTTTCTCGCGACAATGTCCAACTTTCAGCATCTAGGGAACCTGCAAACAAGTGCAAGTGTTAGCAATGCGGCTGGATATAACGGAGGGTTTTCTTCACCCTTTCCAGATATTTTTAATCCTAGTACTGCTACTCCAGTTCCATCCTCCATAATGAATGGTTCAAAGAAAGAGGAGACTAAAGCATTTGATTTTATCTCGGTGAGTTGGCCTGTATGCTTTATTTGTCTCTTTGTTTGCAGTACATCGTTGTGATGGTTGATGCCAACTAAAGATAAGAGTCAAATTTACCAAGTACATTGTCAGGATTCTGTGATTAGTTCGTCAAAGATGCACCTATAGGAACTCTTCAAGTGTAGGAGATGCCTCCTTTTCTTGGAGATCCCTCCATTTTCATAATCTCCACAATGCATTCTAACTATGAAAGATATCTATGCTTTGATATAGCTTTAGGTTCATAGGCATATAGATTGGGTTCATGTGGTAGTTGGGTACTGAAGTATTAATTATTTTTAATGCTGAGCAAGGATAGAGTGGGAACAGGAAATGCAATAACTTCTTAGGAAAGTGATGCTCAACTATGAAAGTAACCGATAGTCAATAGTAATATTGCAATTAGAGTCAAATCACTTAAATTTTTTATTATTAAATACTTAAAATAAAAAAAACACAATTTATTTATCATAGACGTGGCAAGATTTGTATGCAAATTGTGCATTGAAAGTGAATAAAAAGGCTTATGGCATTGCTGTTATCTAAATATTCTAACAGGTCACAGGCACTTGCATTGTGTGTATGGTGGATGCCCTTGTTTTGTTGTGTGTGTCCAGTCTCGTGATCGAATTAAGAAATTAAAAATAGTACGATGATCTTATATGACCAACATGCAAGCTATTGGCAACATGACCTTGTGTGTCAGAATTAAAAGATATTGAAAAATAGGGCACACCTCATGGAATAATGAACGCTGTCCGAAGTTTTTCAATGTCTAATAAGTGTCAAAACCAGATTTTCACCATAGGAGGTCTGTTCCCCACAGTTAGTGACGTCAGGAGAACCATCACTTATAGATGAACTTATAGTGGTTCACTTGGGTTTTGTTTGTCATAGTCCATTTTATATTAAAACTGGATGTATTTTCAATTTGCATTTGTGACTTTTATATCTGCTGAAGTGCATTTAGATTGATGCCTCTTGCATTGTATGTTGCATTCATTATTACAATTGCATGAACAGCATATCTGGTGGTACTTGAAGTCTTGTTTTCTATTTTAGGGCAATAAAATGTCTTGCACGCTTTGTATGAATGAATCTTTGTTACATCTTGGTGGATTGGGTGCGGTTGTTTCGTAAAGGGGAATGTTGGGATGACGCTTCTATATCATGCATATTTGAGAAATAGCAACATAAACAATTTTTTCATTCCTTCATTGATGATTTGCATCCTTCTGAGGGTTCATGCTTGGAATTTACCATTTTGTCGCTATTGTAGGACCATCTGACTGCAGCTCGCGATCCAAAGCGGATGGTTTGAGTTTTATTTCTCATTAGTCCTGATTCTCCCATGAAAGCACTTTTTTACTATGGAAGCATAGACCTTGAAGCAAAAAGGAGTAGATTTTCTTTGAAAGAAATGTTCTATTGGGTAAGTTAAAGATTTATGTTTTTCGGAAATTGCATATCGACTTAGAGGATGAGGCAGTGTTCATAATTGTGGTTTCTTGTAATAAAATGTAGATCTCTGTAATGATTTTGATTTGCTCAACGTGCTTCACTAGATTTATTCCAAGTTTTGTATTAGACTTTCAAATTTGTTGTTGCAACTGTTCTTCAAGGACCAGTGAAGAAGGTAATTACTGAATATGGGTCTTCCTTGGAATCTCTAATTCCTTTCAGTACTCAAACAAGAGTTTTCCTCATCGCATGATATTACAATTTTGGCTATACTGACCATATAAAAAGTAGTGGTTACTGCTCTTTGAAACTGTAAATTATCCAGCATGATATTAAAAATTGTGTTAAAATCTATATTTATATTTCCAGTTTATAAGTCAAAAGTCTACCACCTAAAGTCAATCCCAAATAGAACCACAAGCTGACTTAACTGAATATTCAACCAATCACTCAATATTGGCCTAGATTCAAGGCGTCAAATCTGAAAATGGTCTGGTAGCCTGGGATGGGGTCAACTTCGAGGATGAAGCCACGATCCTAATAACCATATAAAAAGACTCTTGGCTTGCATTATATTAATTCTAAAAGTCCTGATTTAATCAACCGACTCTTGTTACATTTACAAATTCAAAATTTGTGTAGGAACGATAAAAAGTGGACGTTGTTCCCTTTGGAAGATATAGGAGTAAAACAATCAACTTATTTATATTGAAAGATCCAATTGACTCTTTTAATGTATCATATTCGGTGTGGACGTTAGAGTATTGAGAAGTATCTTTTCCTGATACGAGAGGATCGGGAAGAAAACATTTTTGATGTACTCGTTATCATGTCCAGGTAAATGTTGGATAGTCAAGACTCAAGTTTGAAATGAATAATTAGAATAAAGCTTCCATCGATATGATTATGAATTGGAACTCCACGGCAAAACTTATACAGTATACACATTAGAGTCATGCAACTTGTATAAAATTGATTGACATAGTTGGTTTACAAAACAACATCTACACCAATTATTTCCAAAATAGTTTTTTAAATCATTTGAAATCAAAAGTCAAAATTCCGCCAACAATTATTTTGTCAATCATTTTTGTCAACTTGTTTTATATAACTAGATTAATTGTACACATTATAGCTTACGAATTAAAAATGTGCTGGTCCCTCGAACCTTGCATTAACGTACGACGAGATGGGTATGATTCATTTAACAAGGTTGTGCTTAATTGGTCTCATGATGTGCCTCTTGCACTGCCAGTTTTGTCTGGAATATTTTTATAGATTTAAAAACAAAACAAAACAGGCATGTGATGTGAAGGGATATTTATCTGTATTTCCACTCCCAACGCCAAAAGGTATTTGAGCCACATTATTTTGACAATAATACATTTTTAAATAATGTATTGATGAAAAATGTGTGGTAAAAAAATAAGAAAAATTTTTTGATTTGCGTGTAATATTATTTTATTGAAAAATATGATTGAAATGATGTCAAATCACTGTTTAAAAATACATTTTTTTTAAAATAACGTGGCTCAAACAGTACCTATGATGAATATTGACTAGGTAAAAATTGTGCTGCTATATTTTCACCATTGTTTTTTTTGTCTAAAAAACGTTTTAGGGAAAATTATGGGTGAGACTCCCCAAGCTTCACGAGGATGTGATTATGAGTTCTCAACTTTAAAAAATGACGTTTAGAACCGTTTATACGACTTTCATGTGTCTAACAGTAGAGGACAAAAACATTAAGTGCCCATTTTGCATGACTTACTTTTGCTTCTCATAGAAAAGTCTTTGAAAGAAACTATTTAATTTTTGTTTGAAAATTAATTTTTAAAAACATTTCATATTTTAGAATTATATTTTGAAAAAGTCACATTGGATCAACTTCTTCTAAAAGCTCTTCTAAACAGAAGAAGAACTTTCATAAATTAGCCAATTAAATAACTTTCTTTTGACTCTTGAAAAGTCATATCAAACGAGTCTTATCCTTCAATTCAACTAAAAGTTGTATGCAATTTTAACTCGATTCAATCCTTAAAAATTTAGATTCACAGATTTTAATAAGTTGGAGAACTGCAATCACAATGCGTGGAAGGTTGAAAGTCCAACCCAGGAAATTTCCATTTCCTTAAACTTTCCTCTATGCCTCTGTATATATTTCCAAGTAGGAAAAAAAAAAAAAAAAAAAAAAAGAGAGTGAAAGCAAATATTTTCGGGACACGGTCGAAAATGAACCAACCAAGAAAAGGAGAAATCGAGTGAATCTAGAGAGAAGATCTGTAACGAGATTTCAAGAAAAAGGAAAGATCAGAGAAAGCAAACTCAAGTCAAGATTCAGCCTGTATTACTCATCCTCCCCCTTTATCTCTTCCCCAATTCAATTCAAGATTCATCAGAAAATACCCATAAACGATAATCATGTCTTCATCTACTCAATCACCTTCACATAAAAATAATAGCGCTGAGACATCAAAGCCCACAGTAGAGATCAAGAAACCAACTTTCATATCACAACATATGCAGAAGCCAGCATGGGTCCTCCCATACAGAACCCAAACCCTTCAAAGTCTATACACCATAGGCAAGAAGCTAGGCCAAGGCCAGTTTGGGACAACCTTTCTGTGCACTGAGAAATCAAGCAACAGTCCTTATGCCTGCAAGTCCATACCCAAGAAGAAGCTGATTTGTAAAGAGGACTACGAGGACGTGTGGAGGGAGATTCAAATAATGCACCACTTGTCTGAGCACCCAAATGTTGTGAGAATAAAGGGAACGTACGAGGATGTCCTATTTGTGCACATAGTAATGGAATTGTGTGCAGGTGGGGAGCTCTTTGATAGGATTGTGCAGAAAGGGCATTATAGTGAAAGAGAGGCTGCCAAATTGATCAAAACTATTGTTGGGGTGGTTGAGGCTTGTCATTCTCTAGGGGTTATGCATAGGGACCTCAAGCCTGAAAATTTCTTGTTTACTAGCGCTGATGAGGATGCTGCTCTCAAGGCAACTGATTTTGGCCTCTCTGTCTTCTACAAGCCAGGTATATATGGGAATCATTTTAGTAACTTATAATTCTTCATTAATTTTTGTAAGATTTGATCTGAAGATTTATTTTTATTTTTATTTTTTATTTTTTATTGTGTTTGAATTGCTGGGTAATCCGAGTTTTGTACAATCCACATTTAGGTTTGGATGTGATATATTATCTTTTGTTTGTGATTGATTGCTCATTTGATGTCTGTACATTACTTTAGTTTTCACGGGTACAAGACATGATTCTTCCTTTTCTAGGAACTTTGGTTTCAACTTGGGATCTCCCCTGTTTCTAGTCATTTGTTTCCGATCTTGGTATTATGGTATTAAAGTGATCATTAAAAAATAATTAAAATAGAAAAATGACCAGCGACAAAATCACCAATGGTATCTGACGAAAATCAGTATGTGTCACCTATTCGTATAGAATTATTGATAGTAACATCATCTGTGATCACCGTCAAAATCATCCATGGTAATGAAAACCTTGTATGTGTTGGTGATAGGTACGGAATGATCAACAGCAATACCATCAGTGATTATTGACGCACATCCATTGGTGATTACCGACAGTAATGTTGTCAATAATCACCAACGGTGCTCCAGTCAATGATCACCATTTCTTTACTAACAATATTATTTAATTCTGCAAGTTGGGGATGTGTCTCGGTACTTTTTTGAAAAATTGCGTGTTGGAATTTCCATGTCGGTGTTTCCTACATTTCAGTCTTTCTAAAATGAAATTACAAGATTCAAATTCTTCTTCTGTTTTTTTTTTTCCCTCCCCAGATGAAACTTTCAGTGATGTAGTGGGAAGCCCTTATTATGTTGCACCTGAGGTTTTGCGCAAGCATTATGGACATGAAGCAGATGTATGGAGTGCTGGGGTCATTTTATACATTTTGCTCAGTGGTGTTCCACCTTTCTGGGCAGGTGTGTTCCTTCTTGGTTCATTCATTTATATTTTGGATTAGAAAGTCTTTTAAGAATTCAGTTTCTATAATCCTAATTCCTACCAATAACTAACGCCTCTTAACTTTTCATACTGTTTCCAACTCCAGAGACTGAGAAGGGGATTTTTCGCGAGATATTGAAGGGAAAATTGGATTTTGAATCCGAACCATGGCCTGGCATTTCAGGTAGTGCTAAAGATTTGATACAGAAGATGCTGGATAGGAATCCAAAGACAAGGTTAACAGCACATGAAGTTCTGTGTAAGAATCTTTCCTGAGGAGATGATAAAATCTGCCCTGGCACCATGGAAGCGATTCTTGTTCTACATGTTTATCACAATGATCTGACTGTTTTCCTTTTCCTTTTCAGGCCATCCATGGATTGTTGACGACAGAATGGCTCCTGATAAGCCACTTGATTCTGCAGTTCTTTCACGCCTCAAACAGTTCTCTGCGATGAACAAACTCAAGAAGATGGCTTTACGTGTAAGGGCTTTTTTTTTTTTTTAATAAATAATATATATTAATTATCAAACTCATTCGTTTCTCTGCAAAAAAATGATGGATAATTTATTGTGTGTGAAACCATAGGTATTTCATTTGTTCGTTAAGAATTAACACCAAACTTATCACAAATAACGAGAACAGAGATTTGTTGCTAAGAATAATTTTGAGGAATCTATTCCATTCCTGAAAGAGTAACAGCAAACAGGGGCAAAAATCATTTTAATTGCTTGTTCCTTAAAATTTGTTTAGACATAGTAGAGAACAAAGATATTGTTTCAGTAAAGTAATGCTGATGGGATTCTGGCAGAGACACTTAAGCCCTTGTTTGATAACTATTATTTCAAAACTCTTTTTTTGTATAATCATTTTCAACCACACTTACACGATAAATATCCTGCAAGTAAATTCAAAATTTTTCCCCACTTTTTAACCACACATTCTCCAAAAAAATCACTATTCAAAACTTCATTTTACCCAAGTAATGGTTGTCAAAACATGGGCTAAATCTTATGAAGTACAAAAATGCTGACGTTTTATGGCTTTCTCTAATTTTTATAAATGTGGATTTAACTTCAGATCTTTTTTATATCTACATAAGCAAACTATAATCACAACACTTGCTGTCTTGCTTGATGCCACTGAATCTAGATGAATAGTCAAAATTTATGACTTGGGATATGGTAAAAAATATCTCAACCTTAGATGTAAGTATGTTTGTGTTCTGTATGAAATTAGTGTACCAATATTTGAACGCTGTAATTATGTCCTATGTCAATTTTGAAAACAGGAAAAAAAATAAAGTTGAGAAGGAAGGCATATCTTGTTAATTTTATCATAAGCCCTGATTTTTGCTCCATTTTAATTTTAATCTATTTTTCCATTTCTTCTTTTCAACCACACATTCGTCAATAAAATAATATTTCACGTAAATTCAAAACTTTTCCCTCTTTTTTAATCACACATTTTTTAAAAAATCACTATTCCAAAATACATTTTTCCCTAAAAACTAATTTTAATGGAGCCCAAATGGTGGGTAAATATAGTAGTTGTGGCTTAGGGCTTTGGACTTTTATAATTCTTAGAGAATCATATCAAGCTTTAGTTAGCTTTCCCCGTCCATGATTTTCCTATCCCTTGAGGAAATTGAACATTTTTGAGTTATATGCTTTAATTAGTAATAAGACCATCTAGTTTTTAAGAGTTCAAGTCAACGAGAATACATATTCTGTATTTTATTTAACTGGAACAAAAATTAATCATCTTTTGTCCGAATTTTACTCGTAGCAACTCCGATGTTCGAATCAAGATGTCTAATTAGGCCATGGAAATAAATTAATTTTTTTCTTCTTTTCATTAAACAGAAGTTGAGTTCTCATCTTTAGAACAGTAACCGATGCTGATGGTTTAAAAGTTAGCTACTCAATAATACGTTTGAGCATCCAGTTTGTTTTTCTTTCTTTCCTTCGTTTTTTTTTCCTTGCTACCAATTGATGTTAACACTCATTGTTAGTCTCTTGCTTTCATAGTCACATAAATGATAGAGCTGAACTATTCTACCTCAATTTCATGCCTAATTTCCACATATACAAATTTTCTTTTGCTCTTCTGCAGGTCATTGCAGAGAGATTATCTGAAGAAGAAATTGGTGGTCTTAAGGAGTTGTTCAAAATGATAGATACAGACGATAGTGGAACTATAACTTTCGATGAACTTAAAGAAGGTTTAAGCCGTGTAGGCTCTGAGCTGATGGAGTCTGAGATTAAAGATCTCATGAATGCTGTGAGAACTCTCTGCTGCTTTGTTTTCATTTTCATGACTGTCATCTTCTATTTCAAATTAGTATAAAACGAATCTGTCTTGGTATTGGCAGGCAGACATTGACAACAGTGGAACAATAGATTATGGGGAGTTTCTAGCAGCTACAGTTCACTTGAACAAGTTAGAGAGAGAGGAGAATCTAGTTTCAGCCTTCTCTTTCTTCGACAAAGATGGTAGTGGTTACATAACCATTGACGAGCTTCAACATGCCTGCAAAGAATTTGGTTTGAGTGAGCTTGACCTTGATGAGATGATAAGAGAGATTGATCAAGATAATGTAAGTTGTGCACTCCCTGTATTTCTTCTCTGAATTGGATATCTCTCTAAATCTCTATATATAAGACTTGGGAGCATTGTTGGATTCTGCGTTAAAATGCTGAAACAACTGACTCGAAATCATATCTTAAAACTTTTGAGACGATTTTATTTAGGTCAGAGAAAAAAGGGTGGAATCAAATCTCCTATTTCCTTTCACCAGATGATGTGTTAATGAAGTTGATGTAAAAATTATTCAATCCAGTCCACATCAACCATTTCTGTCAGTTTTTCATTATGGAAGTCAAAGTTACAAGCTTAGATATGATTGGGGGCATATGATATGGATTTAGGAGCAAAAACGTTTGATACAGTCTTCTATATTAAAAAGGAAAAACAAATCGGTGTCTTAGTGGGCTTTCCTATGTCTTTATCAACTCCAGGTTGCCTTTCAATAACCCGCCATGCTGCTTTTATCAATAAGTGGATCTGTTACAGCAGTATTTTTCCCGTGTAATCAAAATTTGTGTATTCTTGTTTTTGCTTTTACTTTAAAAAAGCTCCGTGATTGCAGGATGGACAAATAGATTATGGTGAATTTGCAGCAATGATGAGAAAAGGCAATGGAGGCATTGGAAGGAGAACCATGAGAAACACAGTAAACTTGGGAGATGCCCTTGGACTAGGACTTTTAGAAAGTAAAGAACGCAGCTGAGAATGCTGATACTAAATTCAACTCTGATTTTCCCTGTTCTGTTTTTCTTTTAAGTTTTTATTTGCTATGTGAAGACTCAATCAATATTCTAATCCAGAAGGCTTACGTTATCCCTTCGAACAGCTGCCTTCCCTTTGAAAAGGTTGCCATTTTGATGCGAGGCAAAATATATCCAGCAGCGCATGTTTACTAATCCTCCCAAGTTTGTTACATTTGTGCTTGTGAATGTGTTACTTTCTGAATTGTTAATATTGATATTGATTATTCTGTTATTTCTAGTACTTTTGGTTGTATTGACCTTCTGTTAGTTGCCTTCTTGGTAAATTTGAAACAAATTACAACTAGTTGGTTATATTTTGTTATTGAAGTGACTAAATGATGACTTGAGCATAATATTTAGAATAGAATTAGATTGCAATGATGCCTGATCCAGATCCCCGACTGCAAATGACACAATTAGCATTATTTTTAGTTCATTTTCAGGGCAAGAAAAGAACATTTCTACCACATGATCATCATCACATCATATCTTCAATGGGAGGCATCTCCATTTTCTTTCACACTATTAGTAATTTCAACACCTTCTTTGCCATTTGCTTCTTTCTCCTTATCTTTCTCTTTCTCAGCCTTTAGCTTCTCTTCTTCCTTGGCTTTTGCTTCTTCCTCTGCTCTCGCCTTTGCTTCTTCCTCGGCCTTTGTTTTTGCATCCTCCAGAGCATTGATCAATCTCCCCAAACAAGCTTCCTCATCATCTTCAGTTGATTTGGGCATCAAGTTTTCTGCAACATCTGCAGGAGTCATTTTGGTTTCATTTAAGAGGTTATCAATCCTGGCAAACAGATTATGAGATTCAAGGTCCAAATAATTCTTTGCTAAAATTTTGAATGCCTCAAAGCTACAGTATGATAATTCTATATGCATATCCATTCTTCCTCTCCGAATCAAAGCAGGATCTAGCTTTTCCACATAATTAGTTGTAAACACAATTAATTTTTCTCCACCGCAAGCCGACCAAAGCCCATCAATGAAGTTCAGAAGTCCGGATAATGTAACCTGACTGTTGTTATTTTCCTCCCTTTTCTTCATCTCTGCCTTAACTGGATGTGCCTTCTCTTCTTTCTTTTCTGCTTCCGTCTTCTTCTCCTCCTTTTTCTCCCTTTGGCCTGTAAGATCAAGAGAACAATCAATATCTTCTATGACAATAATAGATTTACTCGACGTGTCTATCAGCAATTTTCTCAGCTCCGTGTTGTCTTTAACGGACGTCAATTCAAGATCATAAACGTCATATTTCAAAAGATTAGCCATGGCAGCGATCATGGTGGACTTTCCGGTTCCAGGTGGACCGTAGAGGAGATACCCTCGCTTCCATGCCTTGCCAATCTTGGCGTAATAATCTTTCGCCTCAGTAAACCTGATCAGATCTTTTGTAATTTCTTCCTTCTTGTTTGGCTCCAAAGCTAGAGTGTCAAAAGTTGCTGGATGTTCGAACGCCACATGGCTCCAGTTGCTTCTCGCGAATCTGTTCCAATTCTCATTCTTATTATTTGTATACAATTTCCTCTGCCTTTCCTTTACAGTAATAGCCTTTCCCTCTTCTAAAACATGTTTCAGATAAGAACTGGAAACGATATCCATGTGCTTCTTGTGGAAAGTGAGCATTAAATTCCTTTTGGCATCCTCCGTCGGATAGAATGAAATGGATTGCCTGTTGGGAGTGACACAGTTGGAAGTCCACCAAAGCTTGATGCCCTGAAATTCATCGGTGACCTCCTCGTGATCCGCCATGCTAAGAACTATAACCTGGTTGTCGTGTACAATGTTGGCCTTGAGATGCTTTGCCTGCTTTGAAGAATTTTCATTCAGGTACCTTTCGATGGTGGCAAATGCTTTGCTGCGATGAAATCCATCACCTTGATATTCAGGAAATCTTATGTTGATATAAGGGTAAACTAAATTCATGATTTTGTAGATGTAACGCTTGATTAGCCTTCGGAGGTCATAGGGGAAATAATTCTGAAACATGGCTTTAGCCACCATTAGGCCTGCAAGTGTAGAGCCTGCTCCTGCCATCATTTCTCTAATTGTAAACAACATTATAGCGTTTGTGTTCTTTTTCATTTTTTTCCCCAAATACTCTTAAATATCTGATTCACGAGCTTCGTTTTTTGCCGGTACATATAGGAGCTGCTTCTGCTGCATCAGTTGGAGCCTAAGTCTTCATATTGGTCTTTTTTTAATATTGGTTACATGCAAAGACGAAAATTATCAAGAATCATTTGTTTTCTCTCTCTACCATTATATGTTGTTGGTGAGCATACGTCATATATTGTTCCTAGTGCCGACCAGTCACCAGTGGCCATCCGAGATGAAGAGAAGGTGCTTTTCATGCACATTGGGACCCCGTTTCGTGAAAGATATACAACAGAACGAATATGTGTATTTTTCAAATGAATCTTAACCCATCCCATCCCATATGCTTAAAATTCTATATCAGATATTAAACTATTCAGATTCCTATAAACTTCGTTATCTCATGATCTCATTGTGAGTATTTCGAACCCAATTGAACACTTCATAGTAATAGAGACAAGCATTGACATCATCATCATTACATTGCTGTGAATTTATAAATCTTGAGTGGTTGGTTAGTAATCGTCATCTTCCTTTTCTTCGAAATCATCGGTAGGAGTAGAGAAACCTGATCCTGGCAAAATCCGATTGACTTATCTGTTTTTTGGTACACAGAATAGATCCAGCTCTGTAGAAAGAAAACTATGAAATTTGATGGGGTATTTTTATGTATGGCTTAGTCAAATCATTTTTTTACGAAATATTTTCTTTCGATTTAGATCACCGCAAGTGTATGGTTCGTTAACAAGTAATAAAGTGGATTTTAAGAATCTGAATATCGTCCCACAGAGATTGAGTAGTTCAATTGTATTTATCTCGGCCTTAACCGAATCTAAATGATCAATTATGAGTTTTTATCCAAAGAAATCTTAAATCTAAGTTAAAGTACCAATATTATGAATTGGATGGTATGCTATGCAACACAACGTTTAAATTAACTAAAATGCAATTTGATGTTTGAGACGCAAGTTAAATGTATTTAATGAATGTGAGATATACTAGGATCACGAATTCCCAAGTAATGTTCAATTTAACCTTAATTCCACACTTTGACAACACGATAACATTTTGAAGAATCATTACTCCTAAATTTATCCAACACTCTCTTTCGAGATAAATTGAACCTATTTTCATACATCACCAGCCTATATCTCTATGACGGATGCAAATATACGAGAATGCATGTAGTTTTGTGAGTACTTAAAGATTCACGCAAGGTATAGGGGTATATTTCTATCCTCTATCGGACCCTACGATGATTTATACCTTGTCGAATTTATTCCTATTCTTTCGAATAGATGAAACAAACCACCAAAACTCACACAATTACGGGCTCATAATCATAGAAGCAATTAAATGTATATAAATCATTCAAACAATCAATACGTATTTTAATGTCAAAATATGAAACAAAGAATTAAATATCACATTACAAGATTCATCGATCTCCTAGTATAGATTTTTCTAGCCTAACATGATGGGAAGAAGAACATAACAATAAAAATCAAGAAAAGACATCACCCTATTGAAATTCTTGAAGTGAGACCTTGAATCTTGAATTGAATCTTCTTGTTCTTCCTTCTCCTTTCTCTTCAAATCTTCCAAAATAATGTATAATGCGTGGTCTATGTTTTTGACGTCCCTAGGGCTTTAAAAGACTCCCTAAGATTTGTTTCCATAAGAATTTCATTCAGAAAAGGAAACCAGGTTTTCTCAACGTGATTGGCTTGGGCTGTCGCCCAGGCAAAATTCGGGCAGTCGTTCAGGCCAAGAATTTCTGCTCGATAATTAAAAAATCATGTTGAGCGATCTCCCGGTATTTATAACTGGGCTGTAACCCGGTCAAAATTTCTTCCATATGTTGCATTTTAGCCCCCGAAGTCGATTTTTTATTCTTTCAAGTCCTTTCTCTTGCATTTTCAATCCTTTGACTTTTAATTGTATCCAATTGAACCCGAAACATCTTTAATCTTCATTTTGTGATCCGAATCAACTATTGAAATGTTGCAACTTAGTCCTCATACTTTGAATTTTCTTCATTTTAGTTCTTTTTCTTTTCTTTTCTCTTGAATTCTACCACATTCATCAATATAGTCCTACAAAACATAATTACATAGAATTAAGCCATAGTTCAAACTTTTTTATCATAATTAAGTCATGTTTGTGAACTAAACACACTTATCATCATTCACAACTTTTTTAGGCCCAACTTGCTATAAAAAGTTTTTGAAGCTTTTTTTATCTGAAAATATCCAATTTATCCTTCTACATATTATTGAAATATCTCAAATACCGTTAGTATATAATGACCAAAATGCCCAATTTTCATATTATAACCGTTAGTTTACTTTTTTGAAATTCTAGCTTCTTCTTCCTCTTCAGTTTATCTACAATCCTCTACTTCTTTGTTTTTGTTTTTTTTTTTTCCTTTTCTAGTTTTATTCGAAGTATAAAGAAACACATTCAAACAACGAACCCTTATATTTCTATATTTTATATTGGTAAGATATTTTTCTCACTTTTATTAATTTTTTTAATCTTTTGTTTTTTATTTGTACATATATTCATTACCATTTCTGTTTATTAAATTATTTGAGTTCATTTTTCAATATCAAGTGGCTTTGAAAAGTAGAATCTCATGTATTTTAGTTATAGAATCGTAATGGACATTTAAAAAGACAGCGATCGTTTAAAATGACTAAATAGCCGTTTTAAACAACTATGGTAGTTTAGTCGTTTAAAAAACGATAATAGAAATGTCTATAGTCACTTTAGATTACAATAATTGATTATCTGCTAACTTTTTAAAATCTTACTATTCTAATTACATATATGGATTCTACAACATAGATTGCCATATTTTATTTTGGTAATTTTATTAATGATGATGAAGGAAAATGGATATGGAAACGAAGCGGGGATGATGAGATGGTAGAAGGAGTTCCAATATCTTCAAATACTTCATATCATGATTTGTATTGTGAAGTGCTAAACATTTGCAAAATTGATTCATCTTTATATGAAATTGAGATGAGATTTCTTCTACCTGGAAATTGACAGTTTTCAGTTCCAATTAAAATTACTTCAGACAGGTAAGTGCAGTGGTTGCTATCTCTCAACAAAAGAAATTTTCATTATCTAATTTGTGTAACTCTATTGACCAAAGATCCAGTTGACCATATGATAAAATACACTTATCTAATTTATTAAACTAGAGCAATTTTTATTATTTAGGATGAATTAATGCTTAATTTCATACATATTTCGTTTGTTAGGTGTAACTCAAGGCAAAACAATGAAATTGGACAGAAGAGCGAGAAATTTGCTAATTTGGGCCTTAGCAAAAGTTTGGGACTAAATCGTAAAATATTAAAAGTTGATTTGAACATGATGTTAATGATTGAAGAAGAGCAAGAGGCAATTAAATGGTGTTAGAAGATGAATGACCGAGAAGAGGTAAGATATGGATAAAAAGGAATGAAGATAGAAGTATAGGGACCAAAGTGCAACACATGGAAAAGTTTCATAACGACGCACGCGCAGGCCAAAACTCTCGCGTGCTCAAGGGGTTGAATTTCATAAGCAAAACGTAAAACCCATAGGCCCCGCGCATAGGCATTTTTAGGAGAAAAATTAGGCAGATTCTTTTTTTTTTTTTTGACACAAACCCTTATGAAAACAAAATTCATCATGCTATTTAACCTAGGGCGACGACAAGAACGCTTTCTTTGACTGCTGGATGAAAAAAGAGGCTTGCAAGGAGGGAAACTCTAAAAGGCAAAAAATAACAAGGAATTGCAAGAAGATTGACAATAATTGGGGGGAGAATTCACGCAACACAACTAGTTTTTTCTCTTATTCCCTACTTCTTCTCCATGTTTTTTATTGTGTATTTCATTATGTTAATCAATTTAGTTATGAACTTAATTCGTAGATCTAGGGTTGATGTAACCTATTTGAGACGTGATTTGATTCTAATATAGTTATTTCTTTCAGTTTTCCAAAATTTATTTGTATTGTTTTGTACTTAATGCTTTCAATTGCCTAATCAATAATTGAATGAATCGATGTTTTAAATTTGATGCTCGAGAGAGGAAAATTTAGACATGATCTGAAACAATATAACTTAAATTTGTAGGTTTCGAGAGAAAGTGCAAATCTTTGAGGGGTAAAACAAGAACCAAGAACTTTAATAATCTTTATATGTTTAATTCGGAATAGAGATATTGGAGTTAAAACATTAAGATAGGTTCTATTGGCGCTCGAGAGAGGGGATAGAATTAAATTAGGGTTCTTGTCTATAAATTGGGAAAATTCGATGGAAATGGCTGTAGAAGTTCAGAACATGTTGATAATATGGAGAAATCAATCCCTAGATATCCATAATTTGATTTGATTTTTAGAAATTGTCTCACTTTACTTGCATTCTCTATTCCATTTAAACTAGGTTATCATGAAAACATCATTTAAAACTTGGGATTGTCTAAATAAAGTGAAAATCGAAACAATTATAGTACTCAGTTGAATTTGAATATCAATCCTTGTGGGTTCGACACTTTTAAATTCTTTACTATAACACAAAACTTGACACCGTACACTTGCTGTTAAATCAAGTTATATAATCGCGTGGCATGTTTTTGGCATCATTGTCGAGGATTGATTCATTTGAATTCGATTGATATTATTACGAATTGGCTTTCATTTTAATTTGAATTTCTGTCTTAACATTAATTTTTATTTTTATTTATTTATTTTACTTATTTTGTGTTTATTTCTAATAGCTCATTTGTTTCTATTTTCAGTTGTTTATGCGAAAAGTGAGAAATCTTGACTTACTACCTATTGATCCTGAACGAGAACATACATTCCACTTTCTAAGGCGTATACAGAGAGGCGAACGTGAAATTATGGCAGAACAGGAAGTAAGAACAGCTAATGAAGGTAATCAACAAAGAGTTATTCGTGACTATGTCAGACCCATTGTCAATGACAATTACTCCGGCATCGCACACCCAGCAATTGCTGCAAACAATTTCGAATTGAAGCCAAGACTTATACATATGGTGCAGCAGAACCAATTTGGAGGAGGTCCAACGGAGGACCCAAATGCTCACCTGGGCTCATTTATGGAAATTTGTCATACAGTGAAAATGAACGAGGTTACTGAAGATGCAATCAAACTCCGTCTATTCTCTTTCTCCTTGAGGGATAAGGAAAAAGCCTGGTTCCAGTCATTACCGTACGGGTCAATCACAACTTGGGATGACTTGGTTCAGAAATTTCTTACCAAGTACTTTCCACCGTCCAAATCAGCTCAACTTCAAAGTGAAATTGGAATGTTCCGACAACTTGACTTCGAACCATTTTATGAAGCTTGGGAAAGATTCAAAAACGTCCTTAGAAGATGTCCTCAACATGGATTTCAAAGCTGGATGCAAATTGAAATCTTCTATAATGGATTAAATGGGCAGACAAGAACTATAGTAGATGCAGCTGCAGGAGGCACTTTAATGGCTAAAACAGCAAATGTAGCATACTCCTTATTGGATGACATAGTCACAAATAGTTACCAATGGCCAAGTGAGAGGTCAAGTGTAAAGAGAGCGGTAGGACTTCATGAAGTGGATCCCATCACAGCATTAGCAGCTCAGGTTTCATCACTCACAAATCAGATAGCAACACTTACCACTCAAGGAAACCAACAGAAAGCAGATTCAGTTATGGCTGCCTCTTCATCACACCAGGAAATAGAGATAGCAAATGAGCAAGCTCAATATGTCAACAACAGGAACTACAATTAGAGAAAAAACTACCCCTCTAATCACTATCATCCTAGGTTGAGAAATCATGAAAATCTATCTTATGGCAACAACAAAAACACACTTCAACCTCCACCTGGATTCAACACTTAGAATTCTAAAGAGAAACCATCCTTAGAAGACATCCTTGGGACCTTTATCTCTGAAACAAAATCGCGCTTCAACAAAGATGAGTCACATTTAGACAACATCGAAACACATGTGTCCAACATGGGAGCTACGATGAAGAATCTTGAAATTCAAATTGGTTAGTTGGCTACATCAATGAAATCTCAGCAACAAGGAAAATTTCCAAGTGATACAAAAGTCAATCCGAAATAACACTGTAAGGCTGTTGTATTGAGGAGTGGCAAGCAAGCTGGAGGAATTGGACCCACAGAAGAAAGCATTTCCAATTCTGCCAAGGAAGAAGAACAAGAAGTAGCAGAGCAAGAAAATCAAGCCAAGGGAACACAAAAGGCTCACAGACCTTATTCCATATCGTTCCCTGACAACCCACCAATCATCAAACCGGCACTTCCATTCCCACAACGTTTTCAAAAGAAAAAAATTAATGATCAATTTGCTAAATTTTTGGAAATTTTCAAGAAAATTCACATTAATATTCCTTTTGCAGATGATTTGGAACAAATGCCAAACTACGCGAAGTTTATGAAGGAAGTGATGTTAAAGAAATGAAAGTTAGAGGAGTATGAAACAATGAAATTGACAGAACAATGCAGTGCTGTCCTTCAAAAGAAACTTTCCCAGAAGAGAAAAGATCCAGGCAGTTTAATTATTCTCTGCACAATTGGAAGCTCTTCTTTTGATAAGGCCCTCTGTGATCTTGGAGCAAGCATTAACCTAATGCCGTTATCAGTATTCAAGAAGTTGGGCCTCGGGGAAGTCGAGCCAACAACAGTGACCCTACAAATAGCTGATAGGTCCCTCACATACCTACGAGGGATTATTGAAGATGTGTTAGTAAAGGTTGGCAAATTCATCTTCCCAGCTGATTTTGTGGTATTGGATATAGAAGAAGATCAAGAAATCCTACTGATTTTAGGCAGGCCATTTTTAGCAACTAGGAGGACATTAATTAATGTGCAAGGAGGACATTTGACATTGAGAGTGAATCAAGAAGAGGTGAAGTCAACATCTACCAAGCAATGAAGTATTCGAACGACATTAACACTTACCACCTGATTGACTTCATTGATTCTGCTGTGAGAGATGAGAAATTATACATTAAGGATCCCTTGGTGCAATGTATGATGTTTAGTTCAACAAAGGATGAAATCAGTACTTCTGGAGAATATGCAGGGAGCAAAGACTTGTTTGATTGCATATTGGCTCTAGAGTCTGCACCAGTTGAAGACAACTTGTCACAATGTGAAGATATTCAGCAATCAGAGGAATCAGATGACAAAGAAAGCAGTAAGATTGAGCTGAAGCAATTATCAAATCACCTTCGCTATGCATTCTTAGAGGATAATTCTACATCTCCAATTATCATTTCTTCATCACTCACAAGGGATGAAGAAGAAAGATTATTGAAAGTGTTAATGGAACACAAGGCTGCTTTGGGATGGTCCATAACTGACATCAAGGGAATAAGTCCTACAATTTGCATGCATAAAATTCTTATGGAAGATTCATTCAAGCCATCCATTGAACATCAAAGAAGGTTAAATCCAGCCATGAAAGAAGTAGTTCGAGTGGAGATATTAAAGCTACTGAAGGCAGAGATCCTATTTGCCATTTCAGACAGTGAATGAGTCAGACTAGTGTAGGTGGTACCAAAGAAAGAAGGGATGACAGTAGTTAAGAACGACAAAATGAGTTGATTCCAACTAGAACAGTAACTGGCTGGAGGGTGTCCATTGACTACAGGAAGCTAAACAAAGAAACTAGAAATGATCATTTCCCACTCTCTTTCATTGATCAAATGTTGGCAGATTAGCGGGCTACCTTATTATTGTTTTCTTGACGGGTATTCGGGCTACAATCAGATTTCTATAGCACCAGAAGATCAAGAAAAGATAATCTTCACCTATCTTTACGGGACTTTTGCCTACAGACGGATGCCATTCAGGTTATGCAATACAACGGCCACCTTTCAGAGATGTATGATGGCGATCTTTGCAGACATGGTTGAGGACATTATGGAGGTATTTATGGATGACTTTTCAGTGTTTGGTACTTCTTTTGACAACTGCGTTCACAATCTTTCCTTGGTGTTACAACGCTGTGAGGAAAAGAACTTGGTTCTTAACTGGAAAAAGTGCCACTTCACGGTACAAAGAAGGAATTGTACTAAGCCACTATATTTCAGCGAGGGGACTTGAAGTTGACAAGGCAAAAATTGATACAATTGCAAAGTTACCACCGCCAACCAATGTCAAAGGCATTCAAAGTTTCTTGGGCCATGCTGGATTCTACAGGAGGTTCATCAAAGACTTTTCAAAAGTACCTAAACCCCTATGCAACCTTTTGGAGAAGGACACAACATTTGTATTTGATGACGAATGGTTAAGGGCATTTGAAACTATAAAGTCAAAATTGGTTACTGCTCCAGTGATGGTAGTGCCAGATTGGGATCAGCCATTTGAGGTTATGTGTGATGCTAGTGACTAAGCAGTAGGGCGGTTTTGGGACAAAGGCATAATAAGATTTTTCAAGCAATCCACTGTGCCAGTAAAACCCTTAATGGAGCTCAACTAAATTACACCACAACAGAGAAAGAAATGCTAGCAGTAGTGTTTGCATGTGACAAATTCAGATCCTACCTCATTGGCACCAAAGTGATCATTTACACTGACCATGCTGCAATTCGATACCTATTTGAGAAAAAAGATGCCAAGCCATGCCTAATTCGATGGATATTACTACTAAAGGAATTTGATGTAGAGATTCAAGATAAGAAAGGTAGTGAGAATGTCGTCGCAGATCATCTCTCACAATTAGAGAATGAAAAGGTGGTGGATGAGAGATGAGAGCCAAATTTGAGAGACTTTTCCTAACAAGATCTTGTTAGCGGTGTCATCAAAGATCCCATGGTATGCTGATTTTGTTATCTATTTGGTATCTTGAAGATTGCCACCTGACTTGACCTCCCATCAAAAGAAGAAATTCCTACACAATGTCAAGTCATATTTATGGGATGATCCGATACTCTTTAAGAGGTGTTCGGATAGAATAATCTGGCGATGTGTCCCTATGAAAGAGACACGCATTATTATCGACCGTTGTCATTCCTCACCTTATGGAGGTCATTTCGGTCCTACACGCACGGCTTCCAAAGTGTTACAATTTGGATTCTATTGGCCAAACATGTTCAAACACTGTTATGCGTTTGTGAAGACATGTGATCGTTGTCAGCGTACTGGAAACATTTCAAAACATCATGAGCTGCCACTAACTAATATGCTTGAGATGGAGTTATTTAAAGTATGGGCTATAGACTTCATGGGTTTGTTTCAGCCATCCTTCGGTCAGGTATACATTCTTCTTGCAGTGGACTATGTATCCAAATGGGTTGAAGCCATTGCCACACCAATAAATGACGCAAAGATAGTTTTGAAGTTTCTACAGAAACATATCTTCACTCGGTTTGGCACGCCTAAGATGATAGTAAGTGATGAAGGTACACATTTTTGTAATAAGCTGTTCAATTCTCTTTTGGCTAAATACGATGTCAAGCACAAATTGGCACTTAGGTATCACCCACAATCAAATGGGTAAGCAGAAGTATCCAACAGAGAGATTAAGCAGATTTTAGAAAAGACAGTCAACACTAACCGTAAGGACTGGTCCCTCAAATTAGATGATGTTCTTTGGGCACATTGAACTGCCTTTAAAACACCAATTGGAATGTCACCCTACCGTCTAGTAATCGAAAAAGCTTGTCATGTACTGGTGGAATTGGAGTATAGAGCTTACTGGGCTGTGAAGAAATTGAATTTGGATATGAAATTGGCTGGGCCACAACGCTTGTTACAGCTCGATGAATTAGAGGAATTTCAGAATGATACCTACGAAAATGCAAAAATATACAAGGAACGAACAAAAATGTGGCATGACAAGAGAATCTTAAGGAGGGAGCTTAAGCCAGGAAAACAAGTCTTTTTATTTAACTCTCGCTTGAGACTCTTTTCGGGCAAGCTTAAATCACGGTGGTCGGGACCATTTGTGATTCGTAGAGTGCTCCCTTATGGTGCAGTGGAACTAGTGAGCAAGGATGAGTCTACCTACCAGGCAAATGGATAACGCCTTAAGCATTACTATTAAGGGGACAACCGAGATGTGAAAGAAACTATCCTTGAAGAACCTACTTAAATCCACATCCACGTCCAGCTAAAGACGTAAAAGAAGCGCTTCTTAGGAGGCAACCTAAGCTTTCTTCCCTCTTATTTATTTTATGTTATTTATTTTCTTATTATTATTGTTTTAATATCGGATAATTTGGTTTATAGTGTTTAGGAACCATTATCCATAGCCCTATGGTCTCTTAGTACTTCAGTTAGTTATTAGATTTTTGAATTAAGTAACACTTGTTCCAGATACTTAACATTTAAAATTTGACTTTGTAGGAACATGACATCCCGGACAAATCAAACCAAGAGCAACATGAGAAAATGAAGCATACATCAAGTTTGGAGAAAGGGTAAATGAGGTCGATTCATATTCAGCATAATTGTACCGAATCGTCATTGGCAATTCAAATAATTTAGGGAAGTTGTCCCTCATTTTTTCTAATTTCACATTGAGAATAATTTTTTATTTTAAGTTTGGGGGTGGGACAGAGAAATTTTCTAAATGCCTAACTTAAATTTTTCGTTATTTTGTGTGTTGAGCGCGTCTCTTTTTATATAAAAAAAAAATTTAATTAAGCTGGCGCGCAAGCACCAGCTTGCAAGGCAAAATTAGTTAAGTTGGTGCGCGAGCACCAGCTTGCGGCCTCGTGCACGCAAGGCCACTATTCAAACGAGCAAGGGCTAAAATGCCCCAGCCGAGTGCGCACGACTAACAAAGTGGCACTCGCGCGCGACTATACGAGTGTTGGGTTTTTAAAATCTAACCCAATCCCTCACTCTCCACACATAAACAACACGAGTCGGTGCCTCTCTCTTGACAATTTCGATGGCTTCAACAAATTCTCACCTAATTTTTTTCCCAAATTCTTGTGGGCATCATACATTCTAACAACATACAAGACTCTTAGTCGAATATTTCACGATCTATCTACAAATTTTCGAGAACTCAAGGTACATTGCTACATCTTCAAGGGTGCGTGTGTTTTGCTACTTGCCTTCTATTCTTGCACTTTCTCACCATTCTTGATTAACTTGGATGTGGGCTTAGATAAACCTTGGTTTGCTTGAGTATTTTGGAGGAATTGGAGTATAACTAGCTTCCTGATAAGTGTGTTTTTGCACACTTATTTAGATCACAAACATGACTTAATAACGAGCAAAATGATTGAATTGTGACTTAATCTCGCTACAATTGTGAATTGTAGAGAACACCGATGAACATGGTGAAGTTTAGGAGAAAAGATGCGAAAAATGACTAAAATGGAGCAAAGTGATAGCTCAGGGACCAAGTTGCAAGTAATCTATAGATGAGACGGGAAATGGAATGAAGATTCAAGAGTGTTAGAGGTCAATCAGATGAGGAAAGGATTCAAGAGGTGAAATATGATCGAAGTATTATCAAGTATCAACTTTCAGGCGAAAAAGCTATGCTAGTGATTTTTAGTCTATATTTTAGATCCATTTTTGGTATAGTAAATATCAGAATTTGAGGAAGTCTATTTCTATCAAAAGTATAGATATGTGATTTCTCTTTCCAACACACTTTGAATCATCTCAATCAAATATCAGGAGAGGAAGATATGATCAAAATATTGAAAGCTGTCCGACGAAAAAATTTATATAACCAAGCGGTCGCATGATTATAATTCCTTGTGGTCGCACAAGGCAATATAGGGAAAAATCTGGGCTGAAACTTCTGAACTGTGCAGTAGCATGGCTTCATACCATGCGGTCGCATGGTATAAAAATGTGACGAAATCTTAGGTTTCCTTATTCGTCTCAAACACGATTTAGTAAGGTTTTGGGCGACTTCCTTGACCTAATTCCGTCCCCAATAAATACCAGACAGCCCTGAAA